CATATCTTAACACAGAAGATCTAAACCACCACATATCTTAACACAGAAGATCTAAACCACCACATATCTTAACGCAGAAGATCTAAACCACCACATATCTTAACGCAGATCTAAACCACCACATATCTTAACGCAGTACATCTCCCCTCCCACCTTCCCGCTCTTCCCTTCCCTCTTTCCGTTCTCCGCCCCCTCCTCTTCCCCCATTCCCACTCTCCCCTCCTCCACACAACATATAAAAACACTCAAGAGGCATTGATGACGCGGATAGGGACAGCCTGCTGGAAAGGGGAGAGCCAGGAACAAGAGGCTATAGACAGAAGCTTAAATTAAAGTGTCATATATATAACATATATACATATATAATATATTATATAATATATATATATATATATACTATATATTATATATATATATCTATATATATATAATATATATATATATATCATATATATATAATAATATATATATATATATATATAATGCGATGATCTAAACCACCACATATCTTAATGCAGAAGATCTATACCATCACATATCTTAACGCAGATGATCTAAACCACCACATATCTTAACGCAGATGATCTAAGCCACCACATATCTTAACGCAGAAGATCTAAACCACCACATATCTTAACGAAGATCTAAACCACCACATATCTTAACGCAGAAGATCTAAACCACCCCATATCTTAACGCACAAGGTCTAAACCACCACATATCTTAACGCAGAAAATCTAAACCACCACATATCTTAACGCAGAAGGTCTAAACCACCACATATCTTAACGCAGAAGATCTAAACCACCACATATCTTAAGGCACAAGATCTAAACCACCACATATCTTAACGCAGATGATCTAAACCACCACATATCTTAACGCAGATGATCTAAACCACCACATATCTTAATGCAGATGATCTAAACCACCACATATCTTAATGCAGAAGATCTAAACCACCACATATCTTAACGCAGATGATCTAAACCATGACATATCTTAACGCAGATGATCTAAACCACCACATATCTTAACGCAGATGATCTAAACCACCACATATCTTAATGCAGATGATCTAAACCACCACATATCTTAACGCAGATGATCTAAACCACCACATATCTTAATGCAGAAGATCTAAACCACCACATATCTTAACGCAGATCTAAACCACCACATATCTTAACACAGAAGATCTAAACCACCACATATCTTAATGCAGAAGATCTAAACCACCACATATCTTAACACAGATCTAAACCACCACATATCTTAACACAGAAGATCTAAACCACCACATATCTTAACGAAGACCTAAACCACCACATATCTTAACACAGAAGATCTAAACCACCACGTATCTTAACGCAGATCTAAATCAAAACATATCTTAATGCAGATCTAAACCACCACATATCTTAACACAGAAGATCTAAACCACCACATATCTTAACGCAGAAGATCTAAACCACCACATATCTTAACGCAGTACATCTCCCCTCCCACCTTCCCGCTCTCCCCTTCCCTCTTTCCGTTCTCCGCCCCCCCTCTTCCCCCATTCCCACTCTCCCCTCCTCCACACAACATATAAAAACACTCAAGAGGCATTGATGACGCGGATAGGGACAGCCTGCTGGAAAGGGGAGAGCCAGGAACAAAGTAGGCATAGACATAAGCTTAATATTAAAGTGTCATATATATACATATATAATACATATATATATATATATATATATATATATATATAAAATATATATATATATATATATATATATATATATATATATATATATATATATATATATATATATATATATATATATATATATATATATATATATATATATATTATATATATTATATATATATATTAAAACCTTATGCTACTTTTTGAATCTATATTATGCAGTATTTGTTAAGACTATTATTATATTTATTATTATTATTATTATTATTATTATTATTATTATTATTATTATTGGTATTATTGTAGTCATGGAGAAGCGTTAAGAGGTAAGACTCGTACGGTGTCCTGGAGACAATGAAGAGTAATCCGAAGAAGAGGAAGCCAGCTTTAATCCCTTGGATCAAGAGAACTGTGCTGGTGTATACCAGTGTAGTCTGTGAGGTTGTGACTACCTCCTTCATGCAACTTTCCCTGATAATCTTCATCATCATCACTAGTGGACTCAAGTCCACCTCTAACACATCTTTAACGCGATGTGATCAGTCCATCAAGACTGATGGACTCATCACTTCGACTCCAGGCTGAGGGACTAATTACCTCAAGCTACTCCTCATATTCCACTGTTCTTCTGTGTAGTAGACTGAAGAACCCACTGGCTGACGAAGCGTTTTCCTCAAGAGTTCCAACTGTTGCACAAGTGTCTCATACTTCAACTTATCGGTTTTGTAAACCATTTACATCACACTTTGTTTACAGTGAGGACAATATTGAGTTTTCTGACGTATGTGAGGACAACAATGAGTATTCCGACGTATGTGAGGACAACAGTGAGTATTCCGACGTATGTGAGGACAACAGTGAGTATTCCGACGTATGTGAGGACAACAGTGAGTATTCCGACGTATGTGAGGACAACAGTGGTATTCTGAACGTATGTGAGGACAACAGTGAGTATTCCGACGTATGTGAGGACAACAGTGAGTATTCCGACGTATGTGAGGACAACAGTATCACCTGGACCCCGTTACACCTCCAACAGACGAGTGTGACCATCTAGATTACATTTTTTTCGTTTTTGTAAATATTTATGCCCTTATTAGCCCAACAGAACCTTACTTAATGTAACCTGACCTAATATATCCTAATTTAAAATAACTTAAGGTAACTTAATTTAACCTAATATAATCTAACTCATCCCTACCTAAAGTAAACTAATCTAGCTTAGTATAACATAATCTAACTTAACCTAACTTATCCTAAACTAATCTAACATTAATTAATCTAACCTAATATAACATAATCTAACCTACCTTATCGTATCCTAACCTAAACTAATCTAACCTAGCCTAGGCTACGATAATCTAATTCAATATAATGCAACCTAAGCTAACTTATTCTAACCAGACCTAATCTTAACTTTAATTGCAGTAGAGAGGTAGAGTGCATGTAGTTAGAAGAGCAGCTATGATTGGTCAGCTGATGGGCGAAACGTCGGGGAGGGGGGGGTAGATATGATCGAGACATGTAAGGTAGATTCTGAATATTATCTAACAAAAGTGAGAGGGAGATTATGACAAAAGTTAATGAGATATTCCTACAAAACTTTGCAGACATTACTTACAAAAGCTATCGAGTATTACAAAGTTCGCGGATATTACTTGCAAAGTTATCGGATATTACTTACAAAACCTAACGGATATTACCCACAAAACTTAGCAGCGAGATATTACCCACCAAAAAAAAAATCATATTCTTAACGTAGTTACTGTAGAAATATCCTTAACATGGTCACTACAGAAATGTGAAAAGAGTACAATTTTATAAGGCATTTTTCAGTAAGTTCCCGACAACCCCCCCCCCCCCCCGCCCCCTTCAAAAAATACATGCATATATTTTCAGTGTCCCTGATTTTTTTTTTCACTCTATGATCCGCTTTGGCTCGTAGCTTAATGCAAATACAAAAAAAAATATTTTTGGTGCTCGTTCTCCCACGGTTGCTGAAATTTCTCTGATTTTTTTAAAAAAATATGTAAAAACTACATTGAAATCTATAAAAATTCCTAATGTTATAGATTTTAATGTAGTTTTTTCACGTGAATTTAATAAAAAGTATTCGAGAATTTCGATTTGTTCAATGTGGCATCTCAGTTCATGAGTCTTATATCTGACTTGTGTAAAAGTTTTCGAACTGTTTATCCGGGTTTACTCACTTCATCCAGCGGTCTGTTTTAAAGTGTTTTTTTTTTTTAACCCAAAATCATTTCCGTATTCTTAAAAAAAAAAAAAAAGGTTAGTGCAAAAACCAGTTTTTCAAAAAGAAAATATGTAGGAAAAAACACATTGTTTAAATTTTAAATGTATGCATAAACCGTATCATTTTCTAAAAATAAAATGTAGCAAAAATCAATCAGTTTCTCAATAATAAGTATATCGAATATAACACCTTGTCTCAAAAAATTACACAAAACTACCGGTTTCTCAAAAAAAGTTGTTTTCCAAACACCATTTTCTTAAAATAAAAAAGTAGGCAAAAAGCCAATTTTTCTAACTAAAATTAAAAAAACACCAGTTTCTTTTTAATTATCAAAAAACACTAGTTTCTTAAATTAACTGTTAGAAAAAAACACCAATTTCATCAGTTATAAAAAAACACCTTGTCTCAAAACTATTATTTAAAAAACACCAGTTTCTTCAAACTATCAAAACAAATTTCTTCAAACGCTATAAAGAAAAACCACCAGTTTCTTCTGCTTATAAAATCACCAGTTTCTTCTGCTTATCAAAAAAGCAAATTTCTTCTGTTTATCAAAAAAAAACACCAGTTTCTCTGTTATAAAAAACACAGTTTATTCATTTTATCAAAAAACACCAGTTTCTTCCCTTATCAAAAAACAAGTTTCTTCAAACTGCTTATAAGAAAAAAACACCAGTTTCTTCTGCTTATCAAAAAACACCAGTTTCTTCTGCTTATCAAAAAACACCAGTTTCTTCTGCTTATCAAAAAACACCAGTTTCTTCTGCTTATCAAAAAAAAAACACCAGTTTCTTCTGCTTATCAAAAAACACCAGTTTCTTCTGCTTATCAAAAAACACCAGTTTCTTCTGCTTATCAAAAAACACAAGTCAATTTTCACTGCGTGTGTCCAAACACTATCAGTGTGTAACCAGTGTTTTGACTGGTAAAACTGCTCCCAGATGGTAGGAGTAACACTGGCTACTGGCGGAACTAACGATGCTTCCGGAGAGCCAACGTTACCACAAGAGCAGCGGATCAACGCGCTACCACAACAGCCGCGGATCAACGCGCTACCTAAGCCGCCAGAAGTGCTGAGCGTGGTGAGAGTGCCGGCATCCACGCCAGTCTAGCGCCAGCTACCAACTGAGTGCCAGTGCCATGGTGGATGCAGCAGCCAGCCAGCCAGCCTCCACCAGGCACCCAGCCCAGGGTGCCAGGCTGGTCCCTCACCGCTGCCAGACAGGCCAGGGTGGAAGAGGGCCACAAGTGCCACCGTCACTGCCACTCACTCCTTGGTGGTACTCTCTCTCTTGTGTTTACATATTTTTATCCGCGCCTCCGGGTGTCTTAATGTTCATTGTTTGTGATGGGTATAATGTGGGCAGAGAGCCAACACAACCAGCCCTGACACACACCTACCCGCGAACTAACCCACAGGAAGTCAAAAGCGCAGAGAGGTCACAGGGATATCAGGAAGTACTTCTTTAGCCTTAGAGTGGTCAAGCAATGGAATGACTTAGACAATGAAGTGGTAGAGGCAGGATCCATACATAGCTTTAGGAAGGGGTATGATAAAGTAGTGTGCATATTAATCGGGGCACTGATGAAATAAGACATTTGTTTTCAAAATTAAAGTTTATTTGAAAAATACACGACAATGGTAAATTAGACACATGTGCAGCACTTGGGTATATTTAATGAGGAAACGTTTCGCAACACAGTGGCTTCATCAGTCCATACAAAGGAGGATGATGAAGAACAGGAGGAGTTTGAGGTAATCAGTCCCTCAGCCTTGAGTCGATGTGGTCAGTCCATCAATCTTGGAAAGAATACAGCATATGTGCGGAGAAGTAGCTTATATACCGTAGGGAATTCTTCACTTGCCTAACCCTTGGGCACGACCTACTTCCACATTGGACAAATGTAACACCACCTACGACTGCTGCACCTCTTCTGCCTACGGTATATAAGCTACTTCTCCGCACATATGCTGTATTCTTTCCAAGATTGATGGACTGACCACATCGACTCAAGGCTGAGGGACTGATTACCTCAAACTCCTCCTGTTCTTCATCATCCTCCTTTGTATGGACTGATGAAGCCACTGTGTGGCGAAACGTTTCCTCATTAAATATACCCAAGTGTTGCACATGTGTCTAATTTACCAACTTGTCGGTTCTCTGAACCATTCATCTACATACATGGCAATGACATGACAGATAGTTGATTTAATAAGATATATGACTACCTTTTGCTTTGGCATAGAATCGACCAATGTTGAACATATTTTGGCAAGTTATTCGTTGTGGTACCAGGTCCTAATAACAGCAACAATTAGCTTCTCCACAGTTGAACAGTCCTGTTTTACGATCCTGCCTTTGGTTATTGCCCATAGATTCTCAATTGGGTTGAGGTCAGGAGAGTTTCCAGGCCAATTTAGAAATCTTAGCCCACTCTCTTCGTAGAATGTCAGCATTTTCTGGAAGTGTGATATGGAGCAAGATCTTGCTGGAAAATGCCTTCTCCATCGGAAAAGTCTCTATCCACAATGGGAAGCAAATGAGTTGTCAGGATGGCCTTGTATTTGTCACTGTTCATCTTTCCCTCAACAATAACAAGCCGTCCAGGGCCTTTAGCATAGAACTACCCCAAAACATCTTCCTAGGTGGGTGTTTGAGCGCATGATGAACGTGTCCATTTTGAAGAGGTTCGCCTTTGCTCCGTTTCATTACCACTGATCTGTACCCATGTACTTCAATGTGCGCCTCATGTGAAAATATAACTTATCTCCATCCATCTGCCGTCCATCTCTTATGATCAAGTACTCACCACAGCCGTTTTTTCTTCATAGTAGCAGTCAAGAATTGTTTCTTTACCTGCTTTCTGACAGCTCTGCCAACTTCAAGGAGCCGTCATCGAACACTTGAATAATCAACATTTACTCCAGTTAGTTTTCTTGGGATCCTTCACACTATTTCTCGTGATAACGTTGTCAACGTGAAGTGTTGTCCTGCATTTTCTTCCACATCTTCCTCGACCCACTGCTGCACAGTCACAAGTGTCGTCAGCTCTCTTCAGAATCCGACCAACAGTTGGCTTTGCTAGGCTCAAATTTTCGGCGAACTGTCTGATACTCAAATCAGCATGTTTTCTAAGAGCTGCAATACTGGCATGTTTCCTAGGTGTAACATCCATCATGAATTTCAGCAGTAATCATGAACTGAAGGGGAGAATTTGGCGAAACCACATTCACTCATGGAGCAGGTTTGCAGGAATAGCCTTACAGAACAACAGCTGATGTGGCACTGACGAGAGTCACACGTTAATATCACAGCTGGAGGGGTGCCAGAAGTCGGTAGCAAACTCTTCTGAAAAGAAAATCACAAAATTTACTCTTATCCCAATTAATTTGCACACTACTGTAGGGTTCACGCAGCCAGGAGAACGTGAAGCCAGTAGTGGCAAGCGGAGAGGCGGGACCAGGAGCCGAGACTCGACCCCTGCAACCGCAATCAGGTAAGCATGTGCCCACGAGCTAACCTACACGTACCCACGTCCACAAACTCTAACCCACAAGAGCCTACAAACACTAACCACATCCTCTAACCCACCAACCCGCATCCACAAACGCTAACCCACACCAACCCACTTCCATAAACACTAACCCACACTAACCCATATCCACAAACTCTAACCCACACCAATCCACATCCACAAACTCTAACCCACACCAACGTACATCCACAAACACTAACCTACACCAGCCCACATCCACAAACTCTAACCCACACTAACCCATATCCACAATCACTAACCCACGTCCACAAATTCTAACCCACGAGTTCCAACCCACCACATACCCACGTTTTCAGAAAGACTAACTCAGAGTTTCTCAAACTGGGTCCCACCAGACCCTGGTGTTCCCAGGCAACTTGACGGTGTTCCCAAGGAACTTGTTAGTGTTCTGATACAGCTTGACGGTGTTCCCAGGCAACTTGATAGTGTTCTGATACAGCTTGACTGTGTTCCCAGGCAACTTGATAGTGTTCTGATACAGCTTGACGGTGTTCCAGGCAACTTATAGTGTTCGATGTTGCGTGTAGGCAACTAGTGTTGTGTAACAGCTTGCCGGTATTCCAGCAACAGTTACAAGACATTGAAACTAAATTTGTACGCTGCGAATCAAAAATAGAAGATATTTTTAAAAAATATCTGTACGGAATCAATAAAATATATAATTTTTTAGTAGAAATCTGTCCACATGACTAAATGCATTTTTAGTGAATTGTTGCCGACGATGCACATCTTCCTTTGCACGGTAGTGGCTAGTTTATTGTGCACCTCGTATTTATATTGTGGGTGGTAGTGGCTAGTTTATTGTGCACCTCGTATCCATCTTGTGGAGGAGAGCGCAAGAGAATATGGACACACAAAAGACCTAGGAACTAGGCACCAGAAGGGTATACAATATGGACACACAAAAGACCTAGGAACTAGGCACCAGAAGGGTATACAATATGGACACACAAAAGACCTAGGAACTAGGCACCAGAAGGGTATACAATATGGACACACAAAAGACCTAGGAACTAGGCACCAGAAGGGTATACAATATGGACACACAAAAGACCTAGGAACTAGGCTCCAGAAGAGTATACAATATGGACACAAAAACTAGAACTAGGCACAAATAACATATGGACACACAAAAGACCTAGGAACTAGGCTCCAGAAGGGTATACAATAGAACGTCTGGATTTATTTCTACAAATGACTGATCTTTTGGAAGCAAATTTAGGATGTTTGCTTAATATATCTGGTATCTTATTTTCATTAATAAGATATCTTGACATGTCACATAGGTTATTATATTGTCTCTATATACCTCAGTAAGTGTACAATAAAGCACATAGTGTTCAAGATAGTGACCACAGGGATGACCATATACTATGCAATTGGTAGGATCATCATCTCTGTGTCTGCCAAACTGCCAGAAGTACGTGTAGCAACCTAAGTCCTGGCTGTTACAACATTGCAAGTTGCTCCGTAAACGTATGTATCTACGTTCATGTTATCATAGTGGGTTATATATCTACTCAGACTTCTAACTGCATTCCTATAACATTCATTATTTACTTCTCTCCTAATATTATCCCTACTGCAAGACACATTTTCCTTCGAGGTTCCTGGCTAACTTATCAACTTTATCATGAAGGAGTAATTCAATGTCTGATGGAATCCATAAAAATTCTTTTACATTAATCCCTTTTGCACATATGAGTCTAAACAAAATTGTTGCTGTGTCTTGACACAGTTACTTGTTACGTAACAGAGTATAGTTAGTTATGACGTAATAGTTATAACGTAACAGTTTGTTATGACGTAATAAGGTTAGATATGGCATAACAGTTAGAATAATAATAATAATAATAATAATAATAATAATAATAATAATAAATCATCTTTATTTCTACAATTACATGTACAAGGTATACAGACCTAGCTGACATCACTGACATACAATATAGAAAGCCCAAATTGTTATGCAGAGCATTTCGGGCAACTTAGGCTAATTTTATCCCCAGGATGCCACTCACACCAGTCTGTTAACAGTCAGATACCTACTTACTGCTAGGTGTACATGGACAGCAAGTGTCTTAAGAAAACACTCCCAATGTTTCCACCCGTACCGGGGATCGAACCACGGACTTCAGTGTGTGAGCTGAGTGCGCTACCAGCCAAGATCATTAGCAGTAACATTCACCATGAAGCGAGCATAACCACTGCTATCATCAACATGAAACACTTGCGTATAAACACATGTTACAACAACTGAAAGATGAGTTGTGTGAGGTAGTCAAAACTGTCACGTTTGTCAAATAAAGATCACTAAAGTCCTGGAGATTTAGTACACCGTGTGAAGCAGTGATAAGTGTTGCGTCAAACACTGCTTCACACTGCTCTTGTCTGGTTGTCTCAGTGACAAGTGTTGGCTTGGTTGAGTAAGTTGTATGGTTGTCTCAGTGACAAGTATTGACTTGGTTGAGTAAGTTGTCTGGTTGTCTCAGTGACAAGTGTTGACTTGGTTGAGTAAGTTGTATGGTTGTCTCAGTGACAAGTGTTGGCTTGGTTGAGAAAGTTGTATGGTTGTCTCAGTGACAAGTGTTGAC